TAGTGGTGTGTACTGTGTGTATGATGTGTATAGTGTGTACTGTATGTTGGAGAGGGAGCAAGAAAGCCCGAGCCACATCCCGATCACAGTCAATTATGTCTCAGATTTAAACTCAAACTATACCAGTGGTCAAATATTATCATGGACATGTTTTGGTTTTCATAATTTCATGGCAGATGTTTTCTTCATGTTTCAAATTAATTGGTCCATGTTGAGGGTTGATGGGGGCATGTTGCCCACCCCTGAAATACAGGATCAGAGTGGATTTAGAACAAGAAACTTCACAGACATGTTTTGTGGAGCTCTGAGACTTATTTACACTTTTTGATGAGGAAGAGAATATGTGACCTTTTAAAGCTGTATTTGCTGACCCATATTTTTACAGATGAGAAGTAGCCTGTAGGCGCCATGCTTCATTAACGACCTTGTCCGTGATGCTTGAGGAACTGAAAAACTGTCTGCTCGTGTGAAGCTCCTACAATCAATCTGTCTTTATCTTCCTCACAGGGATTTCCTTTCTGAGGCTGGTGAGAGAAGAACAGGGCCTCATCACCTCCAGCCAGTCGTCCAAGACCATGTGAGTCCACATTTACCGAAAAAGTGAATTTACTACACAAAGCTACAGATTATTCTCCAAGTAATCAATTAAAAGTTCTCATTTGAATTAAAGCCTTCAATCTATCACTGCTCATAAACGATAGATTTAATTTATAAATGGTGCTTAACATGGTGGAGGGACCAAACAAAGACCAAAACAAAACTGAGAGAGGTAGTAAAAAGATGGGACAATGACAGAGCGGGGTTGTAGGCTCATCTGTGACTTAAATGCAACGACTCCTATGCTAACTGAAACATTGCCTAGATATTTTTACATCTAAAAGGAAACCATTCTGCTCCAGTTAACATGTAAGCAGCATTTCTTTAAAAAGCAGCATGAGCAACAATCTATTTTCAGTCCGGTTCAAATGTTGCAATCTTTCAGCTTCTGCTATCCTTGTAAATTTAGCCTCTTAATTTGTGTCAGAGGTTCTTGGTAAGTTTATCTGATCTGATACCTTACTTTAAAATAAAAAAAACACACAGGTCCAAGACTTCATGGGAAAGTCCCTTTACATCACCTCCTTCACCGCCAAACCCCGCTATCACCGCCATCGCTGTAGCATCCTGTTACATCTTTCCCTAATGTGAACATGTCCTCACATAGCTGCCTCTGTTTCATGATTTCCTTTATTCTAACATCTCCCTACAGACGTTTTTCTCTCTTCTGTTGTGTACCCTTTGCTGTTCGTTTTTATAACCAATGTTCCCACAAGAATGAGATAGTACAGGGACTTGAACCGGGAACCCTCAGATTCCCAACCCAAGTGCAAGCTCAAGGGAATTTGGATTCAAGATATGCAAAAATACTTTTTAAAGTAGGGACAATGGAAATCAAAACTTTTGAGCCCCCATGAAATCTGGTGCAAGAATCGCATTATCTTTTCCTTTTTAAAAACCTTGAAATTGATTTTTTCTTGAAGTTAATTTTGTTGTTGTTGTTGTTGTTGTTGTTGTTGTTTTTTTTACCACTGACACCATCTGTGTGCTTCCTGCAGGACTGTGCTGCTAATGAACCCGGGCGAGGTGCCCCCTGACTTTCTCTCAGTGGCTGAGCAGCTCAGCAGCGTCCGGCACTCGGAGAAGGAGACCTACATCACCCTGATCAAACGCGCCTACCAGTCCACACTAGGCACCAAGTACCCGCTCCACAGTATCCACCAAGTCCTGCAGGTGTGTGCTCAGAGTGGGGGTTCTGATTCCAAAAGACCAGGGCCCGAGTCTGTTCAATTTTTACACATTCTTGTTACAATTAGTCTGTACAGTTGTACAGTCTATCATGTATGCTCAAGGTAGTGTTATACCCCCAGAATGTATCTTTCATAAATCACTTTTTCATAAAAATGCTTTTTGCAGGACAAAAATGTGAACGAACTGGAGGAGATCTTCTCTGTGGTAAGTGATCTCTTAGAGACGGCCGCTGCCATGAGTGACCCTCTGAAGGGCCGCAGTCATGTCATCCAGGGACTCGAGCAACTGAGGGAGAGGATGAGAATCCCAGCGTCCAATGGAAGGAAGTCTGATGGTAAGAGGACAGGTTTTCAGGAGCTTTGGGAAGTGTGCATTGGCTTAAAATAAAAAAAACATATTTCCTTTGCCGGGGAACATTGCGCTCATAGGCTCCTTCTGTTTGATTTTCTTCTCAGGAATGTTGCAGACTCTACCTCTGCCGACAGCCAAGTGTTACATGTTTCACTGGGAAAATGATAATTTTGGTAAGTACTCTACATGTCGCACATTCTTCCTTTAAAGCATGCTTAACATTTAATCAACTGATTTGTTTTTTTCTGTTCTAACTGATAAATATAATTGAGTGTCATCAACATACAATAACAATTTCCTACAGATGTTCTCAACACCCTTTTGGAGAATGACCCCGACGACCTGTCCTCCAACGGGCATGCTGAGGAGGAGGAGGAAGAGGAGGTAGACAGTGACGACGAGGAGGAGGAGGGGGATGTGATAGGGATCGGTTTACGAGAAGAGGACGAACAAGACAAGGAAGAGGAGTTGCATGACGTAGAACTGCCTTTAATGTCCACCCATCGTGCCTCCACCTTCTCCACCATCTCCTCCCTGTCCACCGCCTCCAAAGACTCCATGTTCTCTACCTTGTCCATAACCTCAGGGTCGTACGCTCCATCGCTCTACTCTGTGACTTCTGGAGTGGATAGTGACTTCTTTGACGATTTCGACGAGTCTCCCGTCTCAGAAAAATGTTCCCCAAAGTCTAATAATAGAGCTTCTGCTCGCTCAGCCAGCACTTTTATCGGCTCTTTGCCAAACCCAAAGGGTCCCGGTCGCTGATCCGGGCCAAAAGTTTAGGAAACACAGAATCAAAGGACCTTTCGTTGGTGCGAGACAGGCGCTCAAACTCTCTCCCGCAGCAGGTCAAGTTAAGAAGTCCTGAGCCCCTGCAGCAGCCTCACAGTCAGACTCTCAGACATGTCTGTTTTCGGAGGAGGCCGATTCTCAGTAGCGACGAGGACGTCAAGAACACCACGCTGAGGGTGGTGGTGTTCGGCGCCGATCACGTCGTGGGGAAGGTTGCCCGGGCCTACAACAGCCTAAGGAGGAAGGAGAGTGAGTGTCCTCGCCTCAACAAGGCCTTCAAGCTTCGGTTCTACTTCGTGCCTGTGAAGAGGGACTCTGCAGCAGCAGGGCCGGGGAGTCTGAGGTCTCCTAGTCCTGTGGTCTACTCTGGAAGCCCAAGAAGAGCGAGCCTGACTAATGTAAGCAGATGATTGGTTTCAAAATCAGTTACAAAAGTGCTGACTTGCTAAATTTAAGAGTATAAAAGCTAGATTTAAACATGGCTGCAGTGAAAGAGTAAAAACACGAGTTGTAATTTTTGCTTTTGTTGAAGCAGGAGCTACCGCTTTCGAGCGCAGGGGACAGTACTAATGACATCGCCAACCTCCTCGGTATGTTGGACCCTTGGTATGAGAGAAACACCCTCAGCCTGCTTAACTTGCCTGCCAACGTCGTCTGCCAGGTACAACTGGGATCAAACCTTTACACTGCCTCACCCACACCAATACAAGAAGTCATTTATTTGGTCAGAAGCACAGATTGAGCTCTGAGTTTAAATAGCTTTCAATAATGTACGATATTTTGTTTAGACTGTAACCTGAACATCAATGTAAATGTTTTTTATGTCTCTCTGCAGCAAACCTCAAAGACAGAATCGGAGTCATACGATAGTTCGTATGAGCAGCGTTTGCCAATCCTGGCCGACTTGGTCCTGTACTACTGCCGCAACGCTACCAGGCCGGCTCTGATCCAGCTGTATCAAGCTGAGGTAAGAAACAAAAACACAAAAATCCTACATTCATGTCTGTCTTCAAGCCATTTCTTCAGCTGTGTTTTTTTAAGGGATTTATTCAGGGACAGCTGGTACAAACGGGCTAGCAGTGCTAAGCCCTCCTTTCTTATTCAATAAAGATTGGAAATTGTTCTTCAAATAACCTTCAACAGATTGTTTTACATGTTGGTGGAACCTAGCCTAACCTAGCTAAACCTTATAGTAACAAGAAAAAGACACAAATCTGCCTTTTTGTTTACAGCCCGAGCACTGTATCCTCCTCTTCCATTCACTTCTGTGGTGTAAATTAGTTTTCATGGTATGCTATTTGATTTGCCGATCATTTAGGATCATTAAATTCAGCACACAGGCCCACAGACTTTGATCATTTGACCGATGACAGAACTGGCATTACACACTGTAGAAATTAACTTGACAAATGGTCTATTTAGCGTAACATGGTTAGCTTGTTTCTTAAGTTAAAATGAGAAATGAAAAAGCGCAGAAAAAGAACTTAAGTTTCACGATCCCAAATTCAACGACTGATCCAGAATCTACTGTGTTGCAGTTGACGTTAGCTGGCGGAGAGAAGAGGACCGAGGTGTTCGTCCACTCACTGGAGCTGGGTCACACTGCAGGAACACGAGCCATCAAGGCCATGGGTGAGTGTGACGCACACACATACACACATACATAAACACAGACCCTAGAAACCAAACCACACACAATAAAGCTTGTTCCCACTTCCATTAAATACATCATCGTCAGTGTTTTTGAGGTTGAATCTGGACCAGTTTATGGAAGAGGAACATCTGCTATTTCTATAAAACCATTCAGTCTACTTCTACTTTTTTTAGTTTCACTCATCAGTATTTGTGTTGCACTTCTGATTTTCAATTTTTCCTCTGAGAGGTAAAATACTACTGACAATATCTTCTTCATTTTAAATGTGTGTATTTGTGTTTATCTCTCTTTACATAGGCGCTGCCAGTAAGCGCTTTGGCATCGATGGAGACCGAGAAGCCGTGCCCCTTATGTTAGAGGTGGTGTACAACAGGGTAAGATTCTGGATGTGATCTTATTCACTATTAAAAGTTGTGCAGTGAAGGTTCTCTTTTGGGGCGCAGATGGCCTAGCGGTTAGGTTGCTTCCCATGTACCGAGGCTACAGTCCTCCACTAGGGTCGACCCGATCCCTGTGGCTCCTTTCCTGCATGTCATTTCTGAATCCTATCTAAAGGACTTTTAGAAGACATTGCAAGTTCTTCCTGTTTACTCTGATTCACCTAGTTTCTGTTTTGATCACTTCTCCTTCCTCAAGAAATGACACATGGAGTTTTTTTTTTTACCACCTCTGCGAAACAGCAGTGATCACGTGTCAGGGCAGAGAAACGGCTTTTGTTTTTGTGGTCCCTGTGGTATGAAGCTTTCAGACTCATGGAAATGAAAGCCTTTGGCAGGGCCATCCATAAGGGGGGGAAAGGTTCTTGGGCCCAGCCACCAGGGGGCCTTATTGAGGCAAGCTAAATATGAGGGCGAAACTCAGGACTTTCTCTGTGTTTGGATGTTTTTTGTCCAGCACCCAGTACTTCAGCTTTCCTGTATGTGCGTGCCTTTTGACATTTTTGTATAAGCTAAACATGACCCATATTTATTTCAAATTCTCTACTTATTAAATCAACAAAAGTGCATCTTTTATTTATTTTATTTTATTTTTGGGAATTCTGTGCCTTTATTAGAGAGATAGGACAGTGGATAGAGTCTGAAATCAGGGAGAAAGAGATTAGGGAATGACATGCGGTAAAGAAGCCGCAGGTCGGATTCAAACCTGGGCTGTCTGCGTGGAGGACTACAGCCTCCATACATGGGGCGCACGCTCTAACCACTGCGCCACCAGCGCCCCAAAAGTGCATCTTTTATGAAAAAAAAGATTTTAAAATGCAGTGTGTATCAAAAGATTTACTCCGTCTCCTCAAAATCCTCCTTTGAGTTATTATTTTTAGTTTATGAATTTAAGTCAAAAATCTGAATTGCAGGGTGCCGGTGGCCTAGTGGTTAGTGCGCATGCCCCATGTTCAGAGACTGTAGTCCTCGATGTGGGCTGCCCGGGGTTTGAAACCAACCTGTGGCTTCTTTCCTGCATGTCATTCCCCACTCTCTCTGTCCCTGATTTCAGACTCTAGTCCTATCTCTACAAAAAAAGGCCCAAAAATAAAAAATTGTGGCCAACAAATGGGGTTACCAAAAAAGGCTTATGAAAAAGTAATGATATTGGGATACCACTGGCAGTGGTGTGTTTATGGACCAATCAGATTTGGTGAGGGTCCATTCACTCAAATGCATCTCTTATCTTCGGATAGATGCATTTGTTGTGTGTTATTTGCTGCTCCCATATGTTTTTTTCCTCCCAGTAATAATCTTATTGTCCTTTCTCCTTCCGTGCAGGTGGTGATCAGTGGGAGGAGCCAATGGAAAAAAGACACCAAAGTCTGTACTTCAGTCAACTTAACCAAAGCGTGCAAGAATCCAGAAGAACTAGGTAAACCTGATTGAGACCACACATCAAGTGCTTTAATTCAACCCTAGAATAATTACTGTTTATGGTGCTTTGTTGATTGTAGAAGACTTGAGTCTTTTTATTTATCTCTATTCATGATTTATCTGAATCTGTCTCCGTCAGACTCAAAGATGGAGTATCTGCTGCTGACGACGACTGAAGTCCTGAAGAGACAGGGCGGAAAAAGCAAAAAGGGCTACAATCAGGTGAGTTACACGAGCACACAGCACGTCCTGGTGGTTTGCGGTTAAAAAAAAAAAAAAAAAAAAAGGTTTTTGCAGCAGCACGCCCACACCAAAAATCTCAGCGACATATTCAGAATCTGGGACCTGAACCTCCTGAGAACATTTTCACAAACAGGCGGCTAAATAGAAAAAAAAAGGCACATCAAAGGCAAGACTTCCGTGTTTATGCTTGTAAATGTTCTGCACTGATACAACCTACTCAACATTGCAGCTCAATCTTTCGATTTTGAGCTTTGATCTAACTCAAGCAGAATGTGAACCAAATCATTTCTCTTTCCATCTCTGAGACAAAAACAGGAGCTTAAAACACAAATCAAACTCTTAGCCGATGACTATTAATGTATATCAAATGATACACAAATTTCCAATCATATCCTGAAGGATTTACAAAGCATTGTTTCTCTCTCCCCTCTTCCCCTCTGTAGCAGCTGAGTGTGACTGAGGTGAAGGTGGATAAGGTGCAGATCAGCGGAGCCGGAGACACGACCTTTGCAGTTTGTTTGGACCAGGATGAGAAGAAAATACTGCAGAGTGTCACCAGGTGTGGAGTTAGAGTTACACACACACACAAACATTTTATTAATACTTGTGAGGACTGTCCAAGCAGCAACCTCTGGGGGTGAAAAATGAAGCCGATGCTGAAGTTGCAAAATCCTGCAGTTCCTCGAGTGTCCACTAGAGGCTGGCTGCAGGAAGTCGCATACACACCCATTCAAAAAAGCCAGTTTTTACAGCATGTTCAAAAAACCACACCTCAACCTTCCCCTGTTGCACAAAGATGCCAAAATGCCCCAGTGACGGGTGCTGAAATATTGAACATTTGGAGCTAGAGTGTGCGCAGCAGGGATTGGCTGGAAGAGCCACAGTGTTGACATCACAACACTTTTTATTCTAAGATTTTTTTACGGGCTTTTTATGCCTTTATTTAGAGAAAGGACAGTGGATAGAGTCAGCAATCGGGGAGACAGCCCCTTGTGATGTCATCAGGGAGACAACCCTTTGTGATGTCATGAAGGGAAAATCTCCGAACGGCCTTTTTTTAAGCACACATTTTCTAAAAAGTGTTAGAGGAACATGGTGAAGAGTATTTTGCAGAATATGTGACCTTTAAGGTATTTCTCACAGATGATTATGTCTTATTCACACCATTCACTCACAGCCCTCGCAAGAGTTGTAACGTATCTAACCCCCTGTGTCTCCTTCTCTCCCACACAGGTGTGACATATCGGTGTGCTATAAACCCGACAGCTCCAGTGACTGGAAGTTAAGAGAATCCCTGAGATCAGCGCAAATCCAGCCTCTGAACCCCACCTTCTGCTCCCTCCTCTGCCTGCCCATCGTCACTTTCAGCGGCGCTCTTCCCTGAAAAACTGCTGACCACGAGCATACGATACTTCAAATCTGTGAGAAAAAAAAAAACAGACACGGCCTCCAGAGGGCGGCGGGCAAGTTCACATGATAGTAGCGCTCAGAGGGGAAGAGCTGTTGGACACATGGAACGCTTAAGGCATGTGGACACAGCGATACGAGCACATGTTAAAGAACTTCAGGAACTAATAATGAGAAGAGGTAAACGAGTGTGAATGACTTTCAGTCGTCAGGGTTGTTAAGGGAACTACTCAAGCTTCAATCCACAGGTTTCAATTCCTCTCCTCCAGCTTGCAGAGACGTGACCATGCCTACAGCAACCTGTGAATGTAACTGCGTCAAACAGGATGTGACCTCACAGAGGGAAACCAAACTTTAATAACATCAATGTGTTGCATTATCCAGTATGCTGACATTTAAAGACAGTGGTGGACTCTAACCTTGAGTCAAAGATTCAGATCTTCTTCTTGGATCATACGTGGACCTGAAGGACCATAAAGACACTTTTCACCGTCTTCACCGGGCTGAACTATATAACCCCTCATGTCAGGATGAATATTGAGCTTTGGGACACTTTATAAACATACATCCATTATCTATGCCTGCTTTTTTTCCCGTTTGGGGTTGCAGGGGCTGGAGACGATCCCAGCTGTCATTGGACAAGAGGCGGGGTTACACCCTGGGCTGTTCACCAGCCAATCACAGGGCTGACATAGAGACAGACAACCAGACACACTCACATTCACACCTACAGACAATTTAGAGTCACCAGTTAACCTAAGGAGCATGTCTTTGGACTGTGGGAGGAAGCTGGAGAGAACCCACACATGCACGGGGAGACATGCAAACTCCACACAGAGAGGTTCCTGATAGACCGGGATTTGAACCAGGGACCTCCTTGCTGTGAGGAAACAGCACAAACCACTGTACCAGCGTGCAGCCATATTTATGATGTTTGTAAAATATAATAGTGTGCAAAAATGGAGGCTGCACTGTTCTTTTAAATGACTTTTGTATCTGTGCTTCTTGTGATTAAATGTCTCCTAAGGAGTTACTACGAGGTTATTACTGATGCTGTTATAAATGTGGCCAGCAGGGGGCTCTGTCGATCTTTTTGACTTCTGTTGAAGTACAGATTACTTTGCAGAGGTTGCTTTAAGTGCTTTTTCAGATCCTGTAATGGAAGATGTGTTTTATGCTTCGTAAGTAAACAACCTTTAGAGATTAGAAGATATAAATTTGATATTTTGGTGCTGAAAACACATTTGGGTGCATGTTATTCTTTATGATAAAGTAACTGATTCATTGCACTTTGCATACAGGAAATGTTTTTATGAAAGTCTACTGATGTGTCCATGTTGGGGGAATCACATAACTAGAGACTGAAATTGTGGCACTGCAAGGAATTATTTTATGGATTTTGAACTTTCACTTGAACATCAGAGGAAAGGAATTATTCAAGGTACTTTAATTTTCAGATAAATGGCTTGCATCACTGCCCTCTTCTGACATGGTCGTTATTGTTGTACATGTATTTTAAATGCAATATTGTTTTTTCATAATGTGTGTCATCAAATGTAGATATCTCCAGTTCTTTAAATAAATAAAGCATGTCTTTACTTCGCATTGTATCTTGATATTGTGTACATACCCAGCATTCATTGGTTCAGGGCTTTTGCACGTCATCAAAACAATAACTGAAGTATACAATTTTTCTAGGTCGAATTTTCAGCTTTTAATTATTTTATTTAGAGACAGGAGAGAGAGAGAGAGAGAGAGAGAGAGAGAGAGAGAGAGAGAGGTGAGAGTGGGATAGGACATGTGGGAGAGGAACCACAGGTCGGACTTGAACCCGGGCCATACATGGATAGATACATAGATTATGATCGACTGATCCTGAGGGGAATTTAAAGCATCCAGGAGCAACGTACAAGACACGCATGACATGATACATTTATTACGTTTGTCCCCTCTCTCATATGCAGCCTATATATATTCACCCGAGATTTAAAGAAACCCCTACAGAGATCAAAATCAATTCAAATCAAATCAAACGGACGTTGTTGTAATGATAAACATACGTTTACTTTGCCAAAGTGGAAGAGAAAATAAGAAACAGATTTAATAAGTACAACAATGTACGATCAAAGAATTAGAGCTGTGTAGGCTTGAAGAATTACAAAAGCGAATATACATTCAACAAAAACAAACACTTGATGTTTAGCCAAAAAATAAAAATGTTAAATGTAACTTTGTTCTTAAAATATGAAGCAGCAGTAGCTCAGTCAGTCGGGCCCTATAGGCTGGGTACCAGAGGGTCACCGGCTCGAGTCCCGGGTACTGCAGAGGTGCGCTTAGTCAAGGCACTGATCCTCCAACAGCTCTGGTGTCCTCCCCACCAAAAATATAAACAGATGAGTACAGATCGTTATTAAAATAGATAACATTTAGAAATGAAAAGAGAACGTAAGAAATGTTTTTTAAGTATATTTATAGATCTCTGGATGGTCTATCTATCCATCTATCTATCTATCCATCTATCTATCTATCTATCCATCTATCCATCCATCCATCTATCTATCTATGTATCTATCTATCTATCCATCTATCCATCTATCTATCTATCTAGTCGAACCTTTTAAACGCCTCGATTTGATTGGTCCCCAAACTAAATGTCAACTAACACGCCATTGGTCAACTCCAGCAGGGGGGGGGCGTGGCCAGAACGCTACAGCCGTTTGACGGCTCAGTGGACCTGTCGCCGAGTCTCTCACACACATACACACACACACACACACACACACACACACACACACACACACACACACACACACACACACACAGCTAGAGACGAGACTGTGGACGAATGGAGCCGTGTGTCCGACAGAAACTCAGGTGAGTTTGTTTTACACTTTTTTCAGACACTTTTCCTTCAAAGTTAACTTTCTACTGAAGAGTGAAGCTCGATAGTAATGCGGATAATGACAATTAAGCTAACTTACAAGTGCATGAAATATGGATGGAATATAATTTAATATAAATCTCTCTGAGGATATTTTATCTAATTTAATCAAACAGCCTTTTTGACGTGTGTTTTTATGCATATAAAGTGGTGACTGTGCGGCACCTGTAGTAGCCTTACTATCTATGTCGGTCGTCATCCTCCTTTAAGGACTCTTCATTGCTGCACAAGTCAGTTCTATAAAAAGACTCACCGACATGATGCCGTCTCTGACACACAGGAAGTCATGAGGGAGGGCGGTGCATTGTGTCCCTCCTGAGATAATAACTGGGTTTGATAACAGTGACCGATCTGATTGAAGCTGCGGCTCTCTGTTGTGTCTGTTTTGGAGTCTCAGAGCTCACAGCTGTATTTCCTCCAGCTTCCGTGTTTTTACATCTGAGCTTCCTGGTACCACTCTCAGGGTCTTTAGAGAGGATGCTGAGTGGCTCCAGTGTGTTTTGTGTGCATTTGTACAGTTGAAAGTTACAGAGACAATGCACATGTTCTAACCTCTCTCCATTTTTCAAAAGCATCTCCAATATTGATCCTAGTTTGAGCACGTTTCTGCTCGTGGAGCTTATTAGAAACATGCAGAGGCTTTTTAGGTCGGGTACAATCACTTCTATCTGAACCACTTCTCTTGACCGCTTCCATCACTGCAACACCTGTTGACCTGATAACTGCTCTCATATCTGGTAAACTGAGGGGGCGTCCAAAACGGCCGTGTGGGCGTGCCTACCTGCTCTGGTCCAAACAAATCCAGAGCATTCAGGAGCAGAATCTAAAGTTAGAAGGAGGACACACTGGCTGCTGCATTGTTGTCAGAGAAGCCAGCACTTCAACATAGCATGTTTCCTTAATGTCTGATCTTATAGTGAGGTATCTTTATCATAGGGCTGGAAAATATATCGAGTTTTTAAGATATATCGATATATTTTCAAACAAGATATAGGGTCAGACGATATCGTTAATATGGATATAGTTTATGTTGCATTAAAATAACATTACAGAGGTGCCAGGTCACCTTATTCTCATCTCACTGATGATGACTGACTGTCTGTCCCTCTTCACCCTGCTCCTCCTCTCTCTCTCTTTTATTGTAGTTAAGGAACATTTTTATTTTATAATCTTACTTTTTAAATTTACAAACAGGTAGTTTATTTTCCCATGTGTTTTCACTCTTCATAAAATACATATCGATGTATATCGAGTATCGCCATTCAGCTAATCAATATCAAGATATGAGTTTTGGTCCATATCGCCCAGCCCTACTTTAACATTTAATTCAGTAGATTTCTCACTGATTGGACTTTTAATTATGTGACTGTAGTGTATTTAGACCATCAATAGAAACCCTGTGAAAACATATCAACCATCCAGTGTTTGTCAAAAACGTAATAAAGATCACAGTTATCCTTTTATCTGACATTTTAAAAAAAGGCCTTTGGGTAAATGGGAGTCACATTTACAGAGTCAGAGTTCATCATAACCTTCATGCTCTGTCAAAACGACATCAATTGACTGATGGATGGACAGGGCTGTGACTCGTGGTGCCGCTCCCATCCATGTGAGATAACATCACGAGACTGTGACCTTTAAAAAAAACAAACGCCTTTCAGTCCTCCATAAAAAGTCAGCCACTTCAGAGCAAAGTTGGACAAATGTGTGTAGCCTGAAGGCATCTTCAAGTTGGAGAAGAATCCTATAGGTTCAAAGTGATGCCAGTGCCAGAACCATCAGATGCAACAGAGTGGACTGACGTGCTATCAAACGCCACTTTAGAGTAAACAAACATGATGGTCAATTAAGCTAAATGTGGCTAGCTGTTAGCTGGTACATCTATTACGGTTGGATGGAGGCTTTCACACCATACGTTGTGAATGCAGGCAGATGAAGCTATCTGCTACCTTCATATAAATTGATGCCAATTTCAGTGGTGAAAAAAACTGAGTTTTTATTTTTTTTGATCCTTTATTCACTTGTTTCTATTTCTTTTCCTGCTCTTACCTTCTTATTGCTGTTATCTTTTTATTTGCTTTTATCTCTT